ACAAACCAAAAAGGCATGTTTAGCTCGCAATATAATGTGTTTTTCTTTGCAGGCCTTGAAAACCCATATTTATCCAGAAACCATGGCGAGAAACCTGCTGAGGAATCCCTGTGGAAATGGTGACATGTCTTTTTGTTTCTTCTCTGATGCAGTTCCAAACTGCACCAATAATGTATAAAGGAGACAACACTAAGGGGTTGTGGTGACACAGACATTTGGAGTTGTGTGTCATTAGTATAAGAACAGTAGGATATATTGTAACCTAATACAATCTGAGCAGCGAGGCAGTACTGTTGGCCTTACATTGAAAAGATCCAAGAACAGAGCCTTGAGGAACTACAGTTTAGAAGCTTAATATAACAGTGTTATGGTCAACAGGGTGAACCTTTTTGGTGTGTAAATCTCTACAAGATGTACAGATTTTGCATTGTACATATTGTATGTCTTTAGCTCTGAGCTAAAGATCTAATTATCAAAAAATATATATTTTAAGTTTTTATCTCGGTTATAAACACCTGACCAATTAACCCACAAAGCAATTTGAATTTGTGAGTGAAATTTACTCTGAGAAATGTGACATGCTGGTTGTGCCTCACGTGTTATCAAACCTCCAAAACATACATGTTTTAAATAACCTTTTCATGACGGCCGAAAGTGAACAAGTAAGCTCTGGTGTTTTGGAGATTGAAAGATTAATTCTAGATTTAGAGATAAGCTACAAGGTGCTACAATCAGCCATTTGAGACTGAATTTCCCTCTTAGAGCAGATGGAATCATGGGAGCTGACAGAAAACGGTGGGAACCAGTGGAAAGTGGAGGACATGCCAGGAGACTGTGGCCATGACTTCTGCAATGAAGAAGTGACCAAATACTTTGCAACTTCCTTTGAGTGAGTGGTTGTTACAGTATAAAACAGTTATACCACATGTAATTAAGCCTGTTATGCTGCCATTCAGACCTGCCTGTTTTCAGCACCATCTTTAACACAAACTCGGATTCTATAATTCAATAATTCTCCTCAGCGGTGGACACACTTTCACTCATCTGAAAATGCACTCACAGTGAAGCACTTTCTTTGTTGAGAGCTTTAGCACTTTTGCTAACTTTGAAAATGTTCAACGTATTTAGCTTCCCTTGAATATTTTTTTTTTCCAGATAAATACTAAGGCTCTAATTTACTTACCTGTTTTCTAAATTTTTTGTTGAAAGTTTGAGATCTGTGTTGAAGTTTTGATTGTCGACCATTTTTAAGTAGTTGGAAGTTAATTCACATACTCTTACTATGAAGTGGGTGAAGACCGTTTGTGCAGAACTTCCGTTTTCTTTCCTCAAGTTTTATTTTGTCCGATAACTAAGAAGAAACAAACAAGAACCAAATAAAACACAGGCAGCAGATTGCAAGACATAGACCTGAATACAGTATCTATGAGTAATATAGAACATATAAATTAGAAAATCAAAACTAAATTAGTGCTCAAGAGTTGTAGTCTTTCAATGGCAGTTATAATTTGAATGGAAGTCAGTGCTTTAGCATGAGTTCTGCTTTAGTGTCAGCAGAACTCATGTTTAGAATTACTGCATTAAGGTTAGAGCAACTTACGTTTGAGTTAGCGGTGCCCACCACTGAAACTGATTTAGTTAACTGCTAACAATCGTCCCCATGCATTATCCTAGGCTTTGCCTAAAAAGGCAGGTGATCGACCTGATAGAGGAGGGTTACAGCCCAGAGCAGCTGGACGCTCAGCCTCCTGTCACAGTGAAAGACTGGTAAGGCTTGAACACACAGGTAAGACAGACTCTTTGCATCAGGATGCATTCACACCTGCCCTGTTTAGTCCGGTTTGTTTGGTGAGGTGTGAATGCTGCTGCACCAGTTGAAAAGATTACAATTTTAGTCCCAAATAGAAATGAGTACCGGATTATCATATGTCACAACTCTTAGTGAGGTGAGCTGTCGGTTACAGTAGCTGCATTTTCATTAGAAATATGCTCAAAAAGCAATTGTGAAACGTATTGCGAAATAAGTTATTTCTCAAAGCTTGCAGTGTCAAGAAATCCAGTTGAATACAGGTGGATCCTCCAGCTGTCTGGGGTCGAGTCACAGAGGCAGCAGCCGACACTGACAGACATGGACTTTCCTCTCCTCAGCCACTTGGTCAGCTCATCCTGGGGAATCCCAAGATGTTCCCAGTTCATCCCAGAAACAAGGTCATAGTCTGGACTTCCTTTGGATCTCCTTCTGATGGGATGTTCCCTGAACATCTCACCAGCAAGGTGTTCAGGAGGCTGGTGAGATGGCTTGGAGAGCCCTGGTGGATCCAGCTGCCAGAGCCCACAAATTAAAACTTTGCTGCTACATACAAACTTGTGCAACTAGAAAAAAAGTGTTTCCATTGCAACTTTGCAAAATATACACTTATCAATATGGTTAGAAAGCATGATCCTCCCACCCCACAAGTTGTCGAGTTTTCCTTAAGCCAATTTGTTTTTGTAATTCCAATTCGCATAATTTTATCATCTGTGGAAACACAGCTTGTGATGTCATCCTGCAGGTTCTGTGGCAGGACCGACTGTGGCTGCACCTATCAGATGACATCCTGTTTGCTGGATGAGAATCAAACGGTTCTGCAGGAATATATTCATGATCCGGAGACTCTGGACCCCGAGGCAGACTCCTCATGGAGACAGGTTTTCAGATGCTTTAGTCTCTAATAGAAAAATAACAAAAACACATCCTGCAGAGAATGCATTATCCAACCAACTACACAACCAACAGTTCACTTTCCCTTCTCTTGTTCATCTCCAGGTCACTCATACGTTTTATGACTACGGCCCTGGAATGCGTTTCATCTTATTCGAACATGGAGGATGTGACACCAGTTACTGGGAAGGCTGGTTTGGAGTTCGGGTCACTGGGAGCTCTGTGACGCTTGATGCCTGAACCAGACCAGAAACAAGAAGAGAAGAATGGAAACAAGCCTAGCTGAGAATTAAACATTAAATTATTAATCTTAGTTTATTTTAATACCGTAGCCATTGCAGTATTTTCAAAGAAGCTGTTTGAAATCTTAAGGTTTAACCTGGTGCTGCTTTTGGTTCAAGAAACTAATGTTCACTCAAATAGGCACCTTCACTTTACCAACCTTGATATATTCACGGCCTGCTGAACTAACCTTAAATTAGCCTCGAGCTGCTCTTTGCACTAATCAGCAATCTTTCAAATATTAATCACAGTAATAAACTATTGCGTGCAATCCAGAGTGTGTTGGCGTGTACTGGTGGTTTATTTTTCATGGGACTGAACCACTTCCAGCCAAATGGACTTCAGTAGGATTTTATATGTTGGACCTACACAAAATAAAGCTTAACTATGAGAAAGAAGATGAATGATGTCACTATGAAGAAAGACTTTCGCAGCACTGAAAGCCCCAGTAGCAGCGTGTTGCTAACAGCTAATGGCAACTTTTCTTTTTATTTTCTTGTTTAAATAGTGGAGTGGAGAAAAAAAAACCAAGAACAAACTTTTGTTTTTCATTCAATCAAATTTTTATAACAGAACATAGGAACAACAACAAATAATCTTTGTAGTACAAAGTTTGTAAAAACACATGCCAATCAAATAGTGAAAACTTTTTTCAAACATTTTTTAAGGTTTTACAGCCTTTGGCCGTTAGAAGTTTGCAGACAGTAGTTAATATTCTCAGGAGGCTGAAGACCTCATTCACTGATTCGAAACAAAATTACCTGAAATGTACCTGGAAGCATCAGTCTGGTTTTTATAGAGCATCAATAGTAGAAACTTTGAGAGGTAAAGGTCTTTCTGCTTTAAGTAACGTCACATCAAATTATTAAACTGATCTTAAATAATGTGATAACTATTTAGAAGAAAATGCATGTTCTGCAAAAAATACTAGGTGGTTTTAAGCTGCATGTTTACATTGACAGGCTGTAATACAGTCGGAAACATTGAAATAAAAACTACCTTCTGTGATAACTAAATAAAAATTACATTACATTTCTTTTACTATTGAAACTTCAGATAGAATTAACTCAACCTGGGAGAATCGCTTCAAACTACAGGAAGGAGACAGTTCCACTGTTCTGTTCGACTTCCAGGACCTTCAAATGTTGACCTAGTTAAATGCTTTAAAAGGCCTAACTGAGTTTACATTTTAAGTTGATAAAACAAATGTAAAAATGCAAATAATTTTTTTAAATGTATCGATCGGAACTGTCTACATGATACAGCGACTGGTCTAAAGCAGCATGTCATTTGTTTTAAGCGGTGGAGGGATTAATCGTGTTCATTGAAGAGTCTGCAATTAATCCCATTTTAATTTGAAACTATATGTTACTCAAATAACCACCATTTTCCATTCGACGGCTCTTATTTATTGTATAAATAGACATACGAGTCCAAAAACAAAGATATTTATTAATTTTATATTATTCAACCATCATTTTAATGCAAAGTTCAATTCTATCCGTTTGATTTTCCAGAGTTTCGGGAACTCCTGAACATTCATGGAACTTCTTTCCAAATGTGGACCGTGGATGCTGACGTTAGCGTTAGCTGCTACATGTTTAGCATTTCGATGCTACTTTAGGCATGAATAGCTTTGCTGATAGGCTAACTCCTTTTAGCATAACTCGAACACAATAACAGTCGTTTCTAGAATCCAATTAGATCAGTCACTGATTGGATCCGAAAGGACACCATATGGAATCTAATGTGAGTAGAATATATGCCTTTGATTACTTTTATGATTTAATTAAAATTCAAATAAGTTGCTGTGCAATAATTGTGCACATGGACATGAACTTGTTTCTCCACATATTGGGAAGAAGCAAAGAATGAAGCAGCAGCACATGTATGAAAATGAAAGAACACATTGGGATTGGGATGAAGAAACCCAAAACCACTTATAAGACTGTTTATAAAACATCAGCAATAAAGATTCTGCACCTTTAAGATGTGTATAAGGAATACGCTCCAGTAGTGATTTTATCCGTAATGGTTTAAGGAAGTGTAAAGGTTGTGTCTTTTTAGGTAGAATAACAGAAACTGATCCACGGCGGAAGTGGAGCTACTAATGTTATTCTCCTTGGGACTGCATCTGTTTGCAAAAGGCCTCAAACTGCTGCTGCTCCAACTCGGTCATCACCTTGTTCAATGCATATATCTGAAAATAAGAGAAGCAGACACAAGTAAAAAAAAAAAAAGAAGAAAAAAAGTCCAGACAACCAACCAAAACATCATTTGAGTATCTACAGTTTAGATTTGCAGTGAGGATGGGATACCTCTGCTCTCTGTCGCTGTTTGGCCTCCTGCTGTGCAGACTTCTGCTTGGCTCTGTCTCCTCTGGTCGGGGTCGAGTTCAGCTTTGGTCTGTCCTTGCGGCAGGCCGGCTCCATGACTTCGCTTTAACTCCACCTGAAAAAGTCCAAGAGAGAAACTTTTAACCTGAATATTCTTGACAGGGAACGGATTGATAAATGTAGTCAGGAGAAGGTTCTACTGTGCCCGCAAAAGTTTTGCCACATTGCATTACATTACACTGACATTTCAAATGTTTTTTGTTTAAAATGAATTTTAAAATGTGTGATGTTCATATGTGTTCACCTCTGTTTCCTTTCATTTAAGAGCAACCAATTGAACTTGAAACTGTGGCTGAGGTTCACACCATCCTCAAACCTCAAATATACAGCCACGAAACCACATTCATCAAAATCAAATTAAATTTTATTTGCACATCACATTTCAGCAGCAAGGCATTTCAAAGTGCTTTCCATGATAATGAACACAAAAACACAAAGTCATGCAACATAGAATCAACAATCAAAACATTACATTAAGTCAAGTGCCATAATTAAACTTGTAATTGATTACATTTCAAATGCAACTCTAAACAGGTGGTTTTGTAGTCGAGATTTAAAGGAAGTCAGTGTTTCAGCTGTTTTACAGTTTTCTGGAAGTTTGTTCCAGATCCATGTTGAAACGGTCAAGTCAAAAAAGAAAGAAAGAAAGAAAGAAAAAAAAGCAGGTAAAGACATAAACCCAAAGACCTGAACATGTAGCAGCAGCTAACGGTGCTTCTACAAAACAAAATCCCACAGGGGTTAATTTATGCATCACTTTAAAATACACTTAAAGTAGCAGATCTAACTGGACAAAGAACTTCCAGGGGTGTGAATACTTTTGACGGCTTTGCACCTGCGCATCAACGCAACGTTTACATAGACTGGAAACCGCCGCTAACTCAAAGTCCAGGTGCTTCTGGAGCATCACTAATGAATCCGAAGCTAATAAACAGACGGACGTGACAACTGCACGTTCCCATAGCAACGTGTTACTCTGAAGTCAAAGCAGCTACCAATATTAATCTTAAGTGAGAATATTTATCAGGGTAGGTTGCTCTACGCCTAAATGGTCTATTTAGTCGGTAAAGTTAGCGTCTTGGTCAGGTCAGCTAGCATTAGCCTGCTATCGGTTTGGTTGTACAAGCTGACGTGTCAAATAGTAGCAACATTAGCATTGTGATAGCGGTGAACTCACCTGTGATATGAGGGGAAGTCAAAAGAAGCAACACAAAGAGGCTTTCATTAGCTTTGAGAATAAAAACTGGCTGTAGGAGGCTACTAGCAGACAGAACAGCTGTTCTCTGTGTGCCACAACTAAACAAACCCGTGTTCAGGTGTAGAAAGCTCAATAGTTCCGGTCAGAAATTTTCTTGATTGATTGATTTTTTTTTTAGGTTTAATTTTTAAATATTGTGTTTTTCCAACTTTGGAAAGCTACATTTTTTGTTATGAAAATTAACTTTTTTTGCAGCAAATATAAACTGCTTTAGCGTAGAAAAAACTATTTAGACGTGACGCCGCCACTTATTAGCAAACTGGTAAACTGAACTGTTATAACAAATTTGATCAATAATTATCAAGGAGTCTTTTTTATGGTACCCCGTTTCCGCCACCCTCATTATTTAGTATCTCAAAATAAAGAGGTAGTATCTCATTATAATGAGATCCTACAGATATACTTCATTTCAAATGCAGTTGACTCAGAGACCCAGAAGACAACCAATAGGTCTGACCACCAGATGTCGCCCTTGTATTACAGATTATCTTTAAATCCCAGTCTAATACTTGTATGTGACACTTGACACTAGACACGGAAACATCATAAACATCAGCTGATAAGCGAGCCTTAGACCAGAGTGCATGATATGCAGAGCCCTCATGAAGCCTTCTCAGTGCATACATCAGCTGGGTGGTGAGGGAGTGTGATGGTGGTCCGAGAAACATTCATCACTGCCGGAACCAAAACAGCCATCAATGACGACCCACAATAACCAAGCATCTAAAGAGAGAAAATCGTCCTCTTGTGCCAAACGACTTTGCAGCATCTGCTGCTAAGACGGAGGTTTGAAATGCGCTTCTCTTCTCTCCACAGAGAATAATCGAACGGCATACCAAACGGTTTACCTGGATTTCTCAGCC